CTTGGGAATAAGCCATGGTGTGCATGTATGGAGGGTGTGCATATATGGAGGGTGCTTGAATGGAGAGTTCACTGTATATTCATTGTCCAACTTTGGACAAGAAATAAGCACATAGAAGAGCTTGAAGCATGTGAAGAGCAGTACAGTAGTGTACAGTAATGGCAGAAAATAGTGATAATTTTATGCAATCACTTTATCTAATACTTACATGCTCCCTGTTTTATTTATTATGGCAAAGTCATATAGAAAGTTACACCAGATAACAAATGTATAAATAAAAATAATATTTGAACCTACAACGCGTTCTTTGTTTACTTTCATAATTTTTTTGTTAAAAATGCCTAAGCAACTTACTTTGACCCAAAACAATTAATTGTAAGAATTTGTGGGACAGTGGAATTCATGATGTATCTCAGCTTCATAGGATAACACATGTTCCCATATCTACTTTATACAAATATATCAAAAAACTTTCAGTAGCAGCTTCCCTGAAACTAAATCTTGCCCAGGAAGACCAAAAAAAAACTTACTGCAGAAAAGTGCATACATCTTGGAAAATTAGCAAGCTCAAAAAAAGTGCTAGCAGTAAAGAAATTGCTCATGTGCTTAACCAAACCTATAGAAAACTTATGGGCAATAATGAAGAAAAGGGTAGAAAAGAGGGTAAATCAACATATTTTACAAAAAAAATCAATTGTATTAGATAATTTTTTACTGATTATCCAACTAGAATGGGATAATATTGATAAATCTATTCTATTGAATTTATGTTCTAGAATGAAAAAGCGTTTAGAGGCTGTTATTGAAAAAGGGGGCTTAATAATTGACCATTAAATTTTTATTTTTATAAATTTACATTATTACTTATGTGCAGATAAAATTTTATGTAAAATGAATACAAATTGGTTGAGTAATAAAAATTTAAAATTCTCATTATTTTCCGCCACTACTGTATGTGTTAGTAAAATTTGGGATTGTCAAATTTTGTACTCAGTTTTGCTCATATTATAGTGTCAAGAAGCTGTCGTCTGATTTTCACAATGCTGAGCTTACTTTAGAAGCCTCACCTGAAGAAATTTCGCGCCTTGTAAGTGCTAGTATGGAGAAATATGAAAGGTACTGTATGTCATAATGTCAAGACTTTACCAGTTGTACACATGGTCATTATGTCAAAATTTTTAATAATTGTATGTTTCCACTATGTAGGCTTCTGGCAGTCAAAAAAGGCATGATGAATTTCTCAAACCGAAATACAGTTGTTAAGATAGCAACTGGACGAAGTCATACAAGAAAAGGAATTGAAAACCTGCCAGGTCGTACAGCCCATAATATTCCCATTTATGTTTTAACGTATGATATTCAATGGTATGCGATTCGTTTTGATCATATAATTCAGTGGTATGACTCGTTTTAATCGTATGATCCTATGATTTATTTTAATTGTATGATTTAATGACACAATTCGTCCTAATCGCATGATTCAATGGTATGACACGTTTAACCGTATGATTTATTTTAATCGTTCTTTGCTCAACATCATGATTCGTAATTTCAAATTCACCCAATGTCAATTCTTTAATAACGATGAACTAGTGTAGACTGATGTTTGATAGAGCATTTGCGCCTTGGACTCGAATCCTAGTTTGTTTATGATATTATCACAAATGTCTATCTATAATACTGATATTTACAAATTTGAATACATAATACACAGTCAGACTCGATAAGTCGGCCAACAGTATCCCGCCTCAAATGGCCGACTTATCGAGACGGCCGACTTATCGAAAACCACGTGATCGAAGATATATATTTAATTAAACCGTTTATTATTAATACACTAATATAATTATATCGCAAAATAATCTTGCAGACTAACTTGTCTTAGAGAATCAACTTGTTTTCTTCTTATCTGACGTTGTAAATCTTTTATTCCTGACAACACAGAACTGCTTATAGTGCCTTTTGTTATTATTATAACATTGCCAATTATAAGTATTTGTGTAGCCAATGTATAAGTATTGTATTGGACAATTAATCATCGTACGGGGTGTGGTCCACCAATTAAATTGTATACGTCTTACAAGTTGTCACGTGAAACCGACTTATCGAGCCACATCCAATTAAGATAACTGGTGCTGTTGGCCGACTTAGCGACTTATCGAGAATTACATAGGTTGACCGACTTATCGAGAATTTTTAAATAGTGAAAAGAAAATCCGAAAAATTTTGGCCGACTTAAGCCAAAACCGACTTATCGAGGGACCGACTTATCGAGTCTGACTGTGTATGATAATAATACTATTTAAGACGTTTGCACGCTAGAGCTAGTTTTAACATTATCTACGAAAGTACATAAGAGATGAATAAATATAAATAGATCGAATATGTGTATAATGGATGGACTGTGGGCGTGATTGTAAGGAATGGAATTGAACACAACAGGAGGATCTACTGTACAACATTTTATTTTAATAATAACCCCCATAATATTCGAATTCGTACGCCCTGATTACGTGTATTTGGAATTTTCGTTTTATGATGGATGACACGGCGGGCGGTTACCAACGTTTTTCACATGGACTAACAGTTCACACACGCAACATCAAAATCATAGCGACTCTCATTTGGCAGTTGAGAACGCGTCAGATACCTTATAAGCAAAATTCCAACTCCTAATCACTGTATGTATCAATGAATTCTTTCTTACTTATGGGGCCAACTACGTAATATTATAGTGGCTATCAGAACCTCTGACTGTCTAGACATGGATCTTGCAAGACAGCACGCTTTAATGTTACAGATCTTGGCGTGAGCAAGAGCTTCAAAGGAAATTAGACGAGAAAAAGGTTTGTACTCATGTTTTATAATTGACTGGAAACAACCAGTTATCTATATCACTCTAATTTTTGACACCCTCAATAGGCTGACGCGAGCAAGCTTGAATCTCGATTAACAACTTGCAGCTTAAGTATGAGATTTTGCACCGAGAGCATGATAAGCTTTTGGTAGAACGTACCAGCAGTTGATAGTAAAGTACGGTACGAACAATGTTACAGACAAAAGCTTTGGGATTCCAAACAGTCAACTGAACTGACGATTTCGATTCTTTTCACAGCATAGGCAATCAATCGAACAAACATTGAATAGAGCTGCTCAGTATTATCAAGATTTGGCAGCAGTGAATCATAATAACGAGATTTGCAAACGTGACAGTAAAATCCACGAACTAGAGTCGAAAGAAGCTTTATTACAAGAAGAAATTGTAGGCTTTTTTAAAAGGTGTTATATCAATGTGCAGGTCGAGTATGCTGTGATTGACATGGATTTCTTCTTTAAAACTGCAGCAGACTTTGCAGAATACATTGGCTTCAATTACAGACAAAAGGAAAGAACTAGGTAATAATTCCGTAAGTTTTGTATCCACTATTGGGCAGGGCAATATTTAATAACTTGCCAATTAAAGCATAGCTAGTCATAATGTGAAAACTTATTTCGAATTTTATTCACAGAATTCTCTTAGAAATGATGCTCAGGAAACAGACTTCCCGATCCCACTACTTGCGAGACCTAACTCTCTTTTGCCGAAAAGGTACCAAATTAGAATTTGACTTGCGTTTTCTTGCAGACACTGACCCATTGTCATGTTCTCGTTCGCCACTCGCAGACAAGTCAAATTACTAGAACAGAAGTTCTCAATAGTTTGAATGACGGAAAAGGCTTCCTAGTCGGCAATGAGATATCAGCCGGCGTTTTAACACAGGCTTTAGACAATCCCAAATACCATTATCGTCTTTTTCGACCGGTATAGACCGCCTATCTGACGACAGTCAACAACCGAGTTTACTCTCAAGGCAAGGTAAATCGCAAGACTGCTGACATATTCATTACTTTTGAATAATGATAATAATGACAATGTTCGGTCTGCAGGCAAACAATGGCGACAACACCAATGATGACAATGGTGATGTTTTTCAGTGAAAAACTCCAGGCAGACAATTGAAATTACGAGCCCAATTCAAATTTCAAGTCATCTGCTCACCAAACAACCAAGAAAAAAGGAAATACAGGCTATAATAGGACGCATGACAAAAGAACAAACATTTGCTTTTCTTCACTGTGAACAAATTTTTGTTGTATATTAACTTACATTCATAATGTATATTAAGAAGTAATAGCTAATAGTCACTATATTAGTTGATGTTTGTGTACAGTATCACATATTAGTGTTTTCATAATAGACTTGATCTCCAGATAAATGACAAAATTAGATAATAAACATAATAATAAGCATTAATGCAGACCACTTTTTGAGAGTAGAAAGATATTTATTCATTGCACTGCTTTTTTCCTTGTTAACAAATTTATTTGTCGAATTTTGTACACATAACCTATTAATACTGTAATAGGTAGAATTGCGTTTATCACACTTGTTATAAGATTTCATTGGTGGTCCCGATCTGTAAATGCCATATATGAGAAATATGAATGGTTTTTCGCATTCTTGTTTATGGTTATTATCTTAATTATCATTAATGCAATTGATGCTGCTTCCTCGTTTCGCACAGCTTTAGTAATAAATGTTACACTTGAATGTATGACTAACAACGACGTCAATTTACTAAAACTTCTGAGATGATGTCATAAAGGCAATTGGAAGAACCAAAGCCATTCTTAAGAGAAAGACTTATGTTGTTGCACAATATTATAAACCAGAAATGGGAGATGTAGGAGGATATGAACAAAAGCTCTGGTTTATTATTGGGTTGAAGTGTGTGGAATTTTGTAGAGAAGAATGTAGGAAGAAATGTTCAGTGATTTGATATCTTACTGGCAAATAAAAAGATGATGAAGAAGCATTCTGCAATAGACAGAGTGATTTGAAAAGAGCAAGGATCTGAAGAAGAATATAATAACTTGTGGAATAGAGTGGTATCAGTAGTTACAAATTGGTAGAGCCTGTGATGAAAGGAAAATATTTGTAGCACATGTACTAGATTCAATAGCTTAAGATGGATGGAAGTTGAAAGGGTAAGTCAATTTATGATGTTTGTGCTAGCTCTCATATGCAACTTAATAGCTTTAATCTGTCTAGGCACATGTTCAATAATCATGCCAAATAATCCAGATTTTCTATGTTGTGACTCACATTGGAAATATGAATAGTAGTCATTTGAAATAGAAATTCATTTCTGAGAGTAAGTAGTATTAGGTGGTGCTAGATATGGATTAGCTCTATGTACTAACATATATATTGTATATATGTTCAGAGTGTATGATATTAATGTGACTTTATTTCCAAGCTATGATATCCTGTTGACAGGCTCACTAAAGCTAGTTTTAACATGACAGTAAGAGTCAGAGGTAAAACAAAGGAGTGGCCAACAGGAAGGCCATGTTCAGAGTGTACACTCCCCTGACAAAAGTCTCTGGAATTTTTGTTGATCATATAGTAAACCATGGAAATCTAAATTTTTGAACATCTGTATTGTGTGATGCGCCGCAATCAGTGACGTATTTTCTCCTCTATTTCTGCGTTCCTCCGACGATGCCGCAGCAACATTTCAATC